AAAAAATATATATTTTTATTCAATGGTCATGTAATAAAGAAATAACTGAATTATAATCAGGTATGTAAAAGGGGCGTAATGTCCAAAGCACATACTGTATGAGTTTGTTGTCCATGTGTTATACAAGGATAACAGCTGCTTTTTTTCTGCAGTTGGTTTCTTTGGTTTGTCTGTTAAAATGTTTCTCTAATCACATAGAACAATATGAGAGATATGAGAAAAATAATTCAAATGATTATAAGAACACAGGAGATTCTGTTAGAAAACAGTTAAATCTAATAGATCTTGATTTTACCTCCAATATTCATGTTTGTCAGAAACATTTTTAGGCCTTTAGAGACAGTTCTCAGAGCAGCTGGAAAGGCCTCTGATCCGGATCCTGTCGGTCAAAGGCCTCATGAGACCCACATACACACACACTGACCTGCCTCAGTTAGTCCACAGATAGCAGCAGGTTAAACATTAACGTCCTGCAGCTTGTAAAGCTAACACCAGGACAGTGAACCTTTGGAGTTTGATATGATGTGATCACACACAAACACACGCAACACAAACACACACACACACTGACACAGGGGGCTCTCACACACACTTCCACTCAGAATGACACAGCTCTGATCGGAGGGAGGTGATCTCTGAAATTGCTCAGGTGAGTTTTTCTGATTTTTATACAAAAAAATCTGCTTTAAAGCATCAACTTGGAGAGAGATACACATGAAGTATGATTTTCTCGCCTTCTCTTTTTCTCTGCTGTGTGTTGAGGCTGAAAACTGAGCAAACAGCCGGGGTATGTGGCGACTGAGCTGCGTTCAACAGCTGTTTGAGCTTCTTCTGTCAGTGAAAGTGTTTCTCTTGATGTTTCCGGGCCACTTTAACACCAGTTTAATTTCCTTACTGGTATAAGACTGGAAGCTATGCCCTATAATCTAACGTTTCAATCAGGTCAAATCCTTTTTTTTTAAATGTGCAAAATAGCAATCCTATTGCCATGGTTAGAAAATTTAAAGTATTTGCAATTTAAATAAATCTTCTTTTTTTTTTATGCTTAATTTTATGTGATATTTCAAAGCAGGGAAGATTGGAGCATGTGGAGGGGAAAAAAACATCAAACTCAGTTCAAATCTTTAATTTGTGTTAAAATTGAATCTTGTATTATTATTCATTTAGCTGAAACGTTTCCTGCCAAATTTGCTGCTGTGAAAAGAACCATTTTAGATTGAATCCTGATTCTTAAATACTGATTAAATCCACAATGTTTATCAGTCTGCAGAAGCTCCAAAATAAAAATGGAAGAAAATTAATTATGTTAATGTCGACGTTATATCGAATCCAATTTTAACCTTTCAAACATTTTCTTTACTAATTTCACCGGGTGGAGTGTTAGGTGTAACATTATGCTGATCTCTTCACATGCTAATCTTCACTGAGCATGTGCAGTTAATCAACTGGTTTATTCAGAAAGCTCTGACTCAGACCAGAAGTCACCTGAGGATATCTGAAAGAAGACTTTTTTAAATTGGGATTTAAACATAAACTATCACATATTATCAGATTTTTGTAAATTTATATAAATTTTAATGGAGGAATTGATCTCTGCATTTAACCCATCTCCTTGTGGGAGCAGTGGCCACTGTGTGGCATCAGGGGAGCAGAGTGGGGGTTAAGGGTCTTTGCTCAGGGAGCCAAAGTGGCAGTCTGTGGTAGTGGGGCTTGAAATCAGAACTTCTAGATCCCAAGTGCAATGCCTTAACCACTAGGACGCCAATCCCCATAATTGTATTTTTTCACAATAGCGCTAAACTTTGAAAACATATATTAGACACAAATATCATTATCAGTTTTTCGAATTATTTTAAGAGAAACTGCAATGCTATGAAAGCTTAATTTTTAAGACATTAAGAAAGTTAATTATTTTTAGCAGCTTTGCTTCAAAAAAAAAAATATTTTTTCAAAAGTTATGGTTAATCCACTATCTTAGTAAGTAAAATATAAAGATTAATCTGCACCAAAATAGATTGAATGAAAACATTTACTTGAGGCAACTTTAGCTATAAGTTAATTAATTAGAATAATTAAACTAGCAGCCTCTGACAAGTACTGCCTTCTGCTGGTCAGAGTGGAAACTACAACCATCTTGTTACAAAACACAGCTGCATTAGTACTGTAGATGGGGCTGCTCTAAATCCTGCTCATAGAGCACTAAAATTTTACTTGTGGGAACTTGAATGTTTTTACAGCTTTCTTAGACAGCCGTGAGGGATTTAATGAGCTATTCACAGTTTTCCTGTTATGTCTGTGTAGGTAATTCTAGTTCCTAAGACAATCCTACAGGAAGTTTCTCATTAGAAACAGTAGTAATGTAAATAATCAGAGGTGATGGGATTAAGTCTTGATGTTTTATATAATCAGATAATTAAAGCATTTTATTGTTATAGATAAAATTAGATTGTTTTGTTTTTTTAAGGTTTGACTTCCTAATCAGTTTCACTGTTAACAAAGGTTAGTCTCCTGTCCCGATTGAGAATTAAATCAAATTTATAGATAACAAGATTTTAATGAAACATTTCTGGAAGCGTTGCGATCAAAGTCCTCCATGAGGCGGAAAGCTGCAGAAAACAGGTTAAAAATCAGATACAGTTGCTTTGTTCATGAATCAAATTCATGTTTTCTTGATGTTTAAAGCAGAAAAGACAAAATTTTAAACTTTATGAGTTGGATCTTTAATAAATGTTAGTCCTGATTAAGTAAAAAATTTAATTAAGAAAAATATTGTTAACTGCTTTGTATCTATGAGCTACAATAAGATTATAAACTGTAGGGGCTGGGAAAAGAGGAAGGCAGGAGGGCTTCTAGAAATAAAGCAGTATAAAATGTAAATCTGGATATAGCTCAGGCTCTTTTTCTATTTTAATGTAAGCTTTTATAAACATTTTGTTACATGCAATCTCATGCGTTTTTCTGAATTTTCTATGAACATACTCCAAACACTGCTGCAAAATGTCTTAAATATTGTGAACTCTATGCTGCAGTTTTGATATCAGACTGCACAATGTGTTCTCATCTGCACAGAGAGCATAATTTGTTTTCATTTCTTTCCCTTAGTAGACTTTATATTTTAAAGTGTGCTTGACTGCATTAAACGGTAATATGATGTGTCGGAGTAAAATACTCTTGCATTGTTACAGATATATGTCCTGATTAATTATGTCAACTCTAAAAAATAGATATTTGTCAAAAAACTAAACATTCCACGTATGATATACATTAAACCCTGAATTATCCCAGATAACAGACACTCTTCCTGTGTTTCTAATTATGAAGCTCATCATGTAAAAGCAGGAGGACTGAGGCTGTGATTTCACAAATGTGGAGAATAGACTTAGACCCATAACTGAATTACCCTGTCACTGTCTTTAAAAAGGAATGTGTTCAATATAGAAACAGTTATCAAGAGCAGAATCCTCTATCTGCATTTCTACAGAAACCTAGATATGGTTGATATACGCCATTTTATTTATGCAGCTTTAAGTGGCGGATAAGGTGATGTAGGAGGTTATTTATGAATTCTATTGGAGAAGCTGTCAGGATTAGGTTGTGATGTGAGGACCCAAATGCAGAGACAGGGAGGCAGAGGTGGTTTTCTTGATGATTTAATGAAGTGTTTTCAAACAACTGAGGCAGGATTCCAAAAATCCAAAAATAAATCCGACAAGAAAAAAGTTAAACCAACCAGAAAACATGGAGACTTCAGGGGGGAAAACTATCACGAGGAGAAAGACTCAGAGAGATGAAATTGGAGGAAGTTTGATGAGAAATAAGCGCTGAGGAACTGAACAGAGAAAGTATTTATGGGAGACTGAAACAAAAAGAGGACTAATGAGCAGATTGGAAGCAGGTGTGGATAGAGCAGACAGGAAAAGTAGCTAGGAAAGAGGAGAACACCAGAGGGCAGCAGAGGGCAACAAATAAAAACCTGAAAACTGAAGAATAACCAGAGAAGACAAAAAAAAATCAAACCACTAAAACTAGAAAACATAGAGCAAAGTAAAACAGAGGACTCAAAAGAAAACATAACAGAACCAAAACTGTGACAGAAACTAGAATTAAACCTAATTGAAGGAAGGAATAATTATTCAAAGGTCATCCACTAGTGATCTTTTTTTAGTTTAAGTCAGTTTTTTACTTTAAGTTAGTTTTAATAACTAATTAATTACTGATATAAAATAAAACAGAAGAAATGTTAAAATTGAGCAATTTTTTTCTAGATTATTTGCTCTGTTGTTTAGTTTGCCATCCAGGAAGCTGCTCACCGTTGGAAAGAACTGATTTTCTAAATTAAAAAGACTAACTGTGAGAGGACCAATTGGCCAAGCTTGGTTATCGTGAAAGTGTTGGTCTTAGTTTACAACCTAAATTTCTGACATCGGGGAATTATTCCTGTGGGTTAATCTGAAATTATTACCATTATGTTTTTGGTAAGATCTCCATAAACAACAGGCTGGTAACTGAGCTTTGCGCTTTCACTAGCTGAGCTTATTAGGTCTCCTTACAACCCTATCAGCAAGAGCTCCTGTAGACTGAATGTTTAAGGAAAAAATACCTAGTTGTGGACTTCATGAGATCTGAAATGAAAAACAGCTGCAGAAGTTTGGTTTTCAATGGACAGAACATTGAGAAAGTGTAAACAGCTTGGTCATGGAGCTGCAGTTTGTTTACTGTGATTTGATTTTGGGTTTCATGATGCAGTTTTTCTCAGAAAAAATTATAAAATCTGAGTTTTATTGAGTAGGGAGGGAATCTATCCCTTAAAGGGATGTTTGCTGAATAAATTCAGTGAAAGCTCATCCTGATTTCAGCTGCAGCCACTTCCTCCCTGCAGGACGGAGAGATGGACTGTCAGGCTGTCCACAGTCTCTGTTAATGATCAGCCAGCAGACCTTGACCTCCTCGCTGCTCATATCTGCCGCACAGATTAGGAAAACAAGGCGAGGAGCCGCAGATCTGTAAGGACATAATGTCTCAGCAGTGACATGAGTTGATCCAACAGAGGCTGAAACAGAGATGACACCTAAAAAATATCTTCAACCTAAACCAGAGAAATAAACAGGGAATTTGAAAGAAATTAAATTAAGTTTATTCCTAATCAAATCTGGGGGGAAATCTATTAAAAATAAAAAAGCTAAAATAATTTTTGTTGCATAATAGGAAATTGCCTTAAACTAAAGCTAAACTTTAGACCCTTTGAAGTAAATTCACATTTATTCTTTGTTAAAGCAAATCTATCATCATCCCATATTTATAATTTAAAAAAATTGCTATATCCCTTAGATTGAGAGAACCTATCTGGTCCATGGCCCTTTTCAGAAAACCTCCTCTAAGTTAGTTGGACCTCAGTTATTCAAAATGCTTTATTCACATCTGATTTTGATATCTAATAGATCAAAAGAGATTAAAAACTTAAACTACCAGCAGATACCTTTTGGCTTTGGAACAGAATAGCCTTACTTTATTGATCTTTATGAAAATAACCACACGTATTTCACTATGGTTTTTCTGGTATTTTTGTTGTTTTCTGCTAAACATACCAAAAAAGCTTCAGTTTAGTTTAATCAGTCTAAATTCCATTGCAACCTTTTGGGAGATTTTAGCCTTTCTTGGATGTTTTTTCAAAAGTTCAATCCTCTTAGCAGCTCAACAGATGCTGCTGTTTGCCTCTTTAACTGGTTTTGGGTCTTTTCATCTGTGCAGAAGAAACATTCAGTTTAACTAAGTCACAGATATCATGATAACCTTTGTACAGTTTTTGTACCATCTTGAACCCTCTCTGCAAAGTAGTACTCTCTGTAACAGGAAAGTTGGAATTCCTTAAGATGATAAAGATTTCTTAATTGTATTAAACATTGCTTCATAAGTTAGCAGGTGTGCACTGAAGAACCATTTATTCAGAAAACGAAAAAAATGTGTCTCTCCAAAGTTTTTTTTTTATATATATTACATCATTGAACAGATATAGATATATCTTTTCTGGCCAGAAATTTATTTTTTTCCAGGGAGCTGCCTGTAGCTTTCATCTGTAATTTAATGACTTAACCACAAACATGCAGCTTGTAGGGTTTAGTCCAAAGCCTACCGAGGTGAGGTACAAATGATGAAATTAGGGATACACAGTGATCCCAAAACAGGAGCAAAACACAATATCAGATACATCATCACAAACAGTTTGAGCTTCTATAATTACCTACAGCCCATGCAGACTGTTATTCATCTTCAGAACATTAGAAGTAGTTTTGCACCGATACCAGTATCGGGCCGAGCCCCGATCCAACGCTAAAATGGTGGTATCGATATCAGTGAGTACCAACAAATAGGGCAGCGATACCATTTTGAGAGCCAAAAGTTTATTCAACTATTGTCACCCATTCCTGGTAGGCAATACAAAGTTCTACTGGATTCACTTTGTATTAGTCTTTTTCCTGCTTCACAAAGGTAGGCAGCAGCTTGACAAAGCCATGATGGCAATTATTTTACATCCAAGTAGTATGCAGTTCCTTATATACAGACACATCAATTTCAAACAGATGGTATCGTTATGGTATTGGCATGTGCCAATCCTGCACAGCTAGGTATCACGTTTCGGTATTGGGGCCGAAAAAATGAAATTGGCACAACACTAATCATAAGTAAAATATGCTATGTCTATTTTTTACAGTGAGCTCCCCTAATTTCCCTGATTCACAATCTGCTGTTAATCACACCCAATGGAATCCAATCAGAAGGGAAGTGGGGACGGGCTGGCGGGGACACAGAAAGAAGTAGCTCTAAGAGCACTTACCCAAAGGACCGGATACCAGCTGAGACAGGTGGGGACAGAACTATGGAAAAAACATCTTTCTCCATGCTGCTGCTCCTAACCTGGTTTTCTGTTTTTAAGGAGAACGGCCAGCGGCGGTATGGTGGTCCACCACCTGACTGGGATGGGCCACCTCCTGAGAGAGGCAGTGAGATATTTGTGGGGAAACTCCCCAGAGACCTCTTTGAAGATGAACTGGTTCCGTTGTGTGAGAAGGTGAGACATGGAGGACTACAGTTGGGAATATCTCTTTATGATCCTATTTTCTAATGTTCTTGCATTCCCTGACCCTGGCATCAGTTTGGAAAGATCTATGAGGTGAGGATGATGATGGACTTCAACGGGAACAACAGAGGTTACGCCTTTGTCACCTTCAGCAACAAACAGGAAGCCAGGACAGCCATGAAGCAGCTTAACAACTATGAGATCAGGTCAGACGATTCTCTACTTACAACAACAGCTTTTAATACTGTCAGGAATCTGATCTGTCCCAAAAGTAATAACTGATATAATGATGCAACCCTTATTTAACCCTAACACTTACCCTGACCTGAACCAAACATCTAGCATCCCAATAATTACAAATGAGCATGTCAGAAACAAGTTAAACACTGCTATCTATTGACTGAACACATAACCAACTCTACATTTTGATTAAAAGAACCAATACAAATTCAGGTTCATTAGATATCCGGGATAGTTTCATAAGCAATGATGAGCAGTTTAATTAAGAGACTTAATGTCTGAACTACCTTTATCTGTAGCCAGCTGCTTGTTTTACAAATTAATTGGGTTGTTATTTGCAAAGACCAATATATTGCTTTAATCTGACATTGTATAGGATTTTTTTCCTTTATGTCTCCCAGGAATGGGCGCCTCCTCGGTGTCTGTGCGAGTGTCGATAACTGCCGTCTGTTTGTCGGAGGGATTCCTAAAACAAAGAAGCGTGATGAGATCCTGACGGAGATGCGGAAGGTCACCGATGGAGTTGTGGATGTTATCGTGTATCCAAGCGCTGCAGACAAATCCAAGAACAGAGGTTTCGCCTTTGTAGAGTATGAGAGTCACCGAGCAGCCGCCATGGCCCGACGCAAGCTCCTGCCAGGTAGAGCCTGAACTATTAAGATACAGAAAATGCTCTATGTTTAACCTCTAAATTACATTTTTTATCTTAAAAAACCCAGCTGTCTTTCCCTTCATGAGACTAGGAATATGTAAATGGATATCATAGCCATATAGAGAAAAAATCACTAGCAAAGCCAAAAACAAACCTTAATATTATCGATACATCGTTAAAACAGTCAAAGTCTCCACTTGTCCAAGCATCAGCCAGTCAAAGTCAATGTTACGGCTGATGGGTCTTGTGATATGATAGCAGATACCTGAGATACCATGCTTGAATCAGAACCTTTATTGTTTCTGTATGATCTTAGATACACCTGTCTTCAGATGTGTCTATAGTTACAGTCAGTTGGAAAGTCTCTTGATACAGTGATTCATACCTTCTACACAACAGTAAACTATTGCTGTTTTGTTTCCTGGTTTAGGAAATGCATTTTGACCACACCTGGTCAAATGTTAGTTTTTGTCTGAAAAAATTCCAGCAGCTAAATGTTCTTAAGTGATGGCATTACTGAACAATACATTAGTAAATGGAACAATTCTGCACCTGCAGTGATGAGGGTGCTGCTTTTGTCTCTCGGGGAAGAATGAATGAAGAACAGCTTCATAGAAGTTCCAGTCCTCTCCCATGTGGTTTTAAGATTCGCATCCCAGTAGACTAGAAAGAGATCATGAAGAGAATTATTTATCTGCTAGTGGGGCTTGGGGTATATTCCATGCTCTTCCACATCAAGAAGATTTAACTTAGCTGGTGCATTTGATGAGCAGGAGATCCAGAGCATGTTAAAAGCAATGAGTTCCTGCACTGATGGCTTCATGGGTGAACCCTCCTTCAGCCATCAACCAACTATACACAATGCAGGAAATGTTCAACCTACTGAAGAAGCTTGAAATAGAATGAAGCACCATGAAAAACCTTCAAAACAGTTAATTGTTTCACACAGTAGGCAGGGAGTAGCAACCCTGCATTCACTATATGTTGCTGAAGGTGTAATTGGCAAAAATGTAGATATTTTGACGCTTGCTTATGCGTCCTCTTTTCTTATATCGCCGTGAGCAGCAACTCATATGGTCCATATTGACATCCAGTATTGATCACACTAACATCCAGTATTGTGCAGACGTAGGTTTCAAATCTCAACCTCTTTTCCCCAAGCAGCTCTTTAGGGTCTCATTAGTTCCTGCAACTTTTTAACATCTTCTGTTTGCAGATCATACTCTTTGGTCCAGCGGTAAATGTTATCTATTTCAGAAACCTGAACAACAATTGTGATCAAACACTTGTGCAGAAAGATTAAAGGCATGTGTCCTTTGTCTCAGGTCGGATTCAGCTTTGGGGTCATCCTATTGCAGTAGACTGGGCAGAGCCTGAGGTAGAGGTTGATGAGGATACCATGGCAACTGTTAAGATTCTGTATGTGCGGAACCTAATGCTGCAAACTACAGAGGAAACCATAGAGAAGGAGTTTAACAGCCTGAAACCAGGTAAGACAAGGATTGATGGAAACTCTCATCTCACATTGTCCTTAAATGCAGCAACAGCAGAGAAAATCACCCTAAATTTTCTAACATAGCCCCAGAAAAGTCAGTAAAAACCTTACATAGAAAGACAATGTGTCTTGAATACAAAATTAGGAATATGGGTGGGCAATATAGACTTAAGATCTCATCACAATATGCTGTGTAGGTATCATGACAACAACAAAACTGATCACAAAAACTTAATTATTACTTATTTGCTGTATTTTATAGGTAGTTGTATGACACATGCACAGAAATTATATCTCGACGATCACAAATACTGCCCTTGTAAAATATAGCCATTAAAAATCTGCTTCTTCGGGCAACTATTTATATAAAGAAGCATGATTTTAAACAATAATCTGCACAAAGATACATCATTTCCTGTTTTTCTTTTAATTTATCAGTGATCCGTTTAATAAAACAATGAAAAAATCACATTTGGCATTTTTATGAGTTTTAATGTATCATTCATCCTAATGTACTTTTAGATGATCAATTCAACTTCTTTTCATGACGGCAAGTTTATCAGGATAATGACAAACAATAATATAAACAATAATATAATTATGTTCATCTGTAATCAGAAAATGAAACATTTCATTCATGTACAGTATTTGAATTTTTCAAATTCCAACTATATGATAGAAAACTGCAAACAATCCTGATCACAAACCTGTTTTAGAAACTGAATTATCAGGAGCTAAAGCTTTATTCAAAGAGAATTAAATTAAACTATAAGTTAGCCATACTTAACTAATATTCAGGAAAAACACTGAAAACTCTCCAAAACACAATGTAACTTCCATTAAAGTCATACATAGTGTTCAGATCAGCGAAAAAGAAAGAAGTAAATGTGTTATCCTGTTCAAAAATTCCTATAGACAATTATCAAAAGAGTAAAACTATGTCTTTGATGTATTTGTGTGTCATTCTGTTATAAATGATTTGAATATCTGAAGCTTTAGTAAGCTATAAATTATCAAAGTAGATGCCAGTAAAGGTCATGTATGATGTTGCAGGTGCAGTGGAGCGAGTGAAGAAGATCAGAGACTATGCCTTTGTACATTTCAGTCAGAGAGAAGACGCCATTAACGCGATGAACGCTCTCAATGGAAAGGTCAGCTCTGAGTCTCTGTCTACCATTCCTCTGTGGTTTCAAACAGAAATAAGATATGATTTCATCCTTAAAATAAAATAGCAGTAACTTAACCAACGTTAAGTGTGACCTTCCACTCAGTTATGTACATAAAAAAAAATCATATGGAAATGGTTCCACTCCAGTCTGTTGAGGAAAACCAATGCAAACCTTTTTTTTTTTTTTTTCTGAGCTTAACTCGCAAACGACTTGTCTAAATAAACTTCTCTGTTGGTAGAAATTTTTGGGGCTAACATTGTTTTCTTTCAGAGTCAACATGGCGGTAAACTCCTCCATTCTCTCCTTGCCTGCAGGTGGTGGACGGCTCTCCTATCGAGGTGACTTTGGCCAAGCCAGTGGATAAGGACAGCTATGTTCGGTACACCAGAGGAACCGGAGGAAGAGGAGGCTCGGTTTTGCAGACTGACTACACAGCTTATACTTTGGGACAGGTAAGACTGGGGGATTCAGAAAACATCACAAATATAAGTTGATTTCAGGAATTTGGGTTTTCATTTCTCTAATATTAAAAATTTTATGGTTAAGTGCTAAAGGTTTAAAACATTTCAGATGATGCTCATGCAAACATAACATTTCTGCCAATACTGGGTCCTTACCTTAAAGGTATAGTGGAGGATGTTCTTTTTATGGGTGGATCATCAAAATAAGTTGTCCTACTAATTGTCAATCATTCTGGCACGTAACATGGCCGTTTACATATGGCCGTCCTACGTGCTCGTCCCCATTTTCACTTACTGGTGGTGAGTCTTACATAGTGGAAAAATTACAAATCTTCTTTTGGAAAGTAAGCTTGTATGAGCAATGCAAACAGCAACTTTTAAACAGAGTGTGCACGAGGGGAAATGGGCTTGATCATGCTGTTGCACAAGTTTAATAGGCGTATTCTCTCGGGAGCGGGTACAAGGTTGTGCATGTGCATTTTTTTTAGAGAGGAGAGGGTTGGTCTTTCTTGAAAATCCTCCACGATACCTTTAATTGAATATAAATAAAGATACAGTACATTTATATGAGTTAAGCCATGATCAGAGGTGATTTAAAGCTTTTAAGGGCCTTGATCTGAATTTAAAATTGATAATGCCAAAATTAGTTCAAAGTGTCAGGACATCACCAAGTCAAATCACACCAGTTTTTTCCTCTCTGGTCAAACGACTACAGACATGTGCAAACCTTTGTTGAAGTGTGTCATAATGTTTACCAGCGTTGTCCACGTGGCTTAATCTGATATGCTGTCCAAACTAAGCCAATGACAAAAAAAGTCAGCATAGTTTGTGTATTATCCTCAGATCAGATCGTTGAATCACTAAATAGAAACTCTGGTACAAATTTAGGTTAAAATACAAGAATCTTAAAAATATTGATTACCACAGAAAGAAAAAATAACAATTTTGCAATAAAATAGAAACATTTTAATCAACACCTTTTTAGTGATGTTGAAAAAGTTGAAAAAGGAGTAACATGACTCAGAAAGTTATTTTTTCATTAGTCCAAAAGTTTAGGAAATGATTCATTAAAGTGTTTTTAGCGGGAACATTTTTGACATAAAAGTCATAAAATTGACTTTGTTGAACTTAAACCAAAGATAAACAGGAGATAAAGAACTGATAATGGGTTGAACTCTGAGTTTACTGAGGCGCTGTGGTTTGCTGCTTAGCTGCACCATCAACAGAGGTTAATTATAGGATGTCAAATAGCTCCATCCAGGGGCCGGTTATTATCAGTGCCCCAGAGGAAGGTATAAGAGTTTAGACCGGGGGTATCTCCAACCCAAAGGGCTAATCTTAAGCTTTACGTATTTGATACTGATGATGATTGAAGTTCCTGGCTTAGTTAAAGGCAGAACTTGCTAATTTCATCTTTTGAATCAGGGGTATTGGAGCAGGAACTGAGACAGTCTGAACTTTGACCCCTAAAAAAATATAGAAAAATTTAATTTTCCTAATAAAAATAAATTATTACCTGTGATTCAGATGCAGAGATTGCTTCCGTTAAAGTTGATTTTTGTTACAACCCAGAGCCTTTTTTTTTAGCACTTTTAAAAATTATAAGGTAATGAGAGTCAATGTCTGACTTTTTTCATTCATGTTACTTATATAGGGCCATTTCACAACACATTTCATCTCAAGGCACTTTACAGTTCACCAGATCATACAGTCAAATTGATTCAAAGTTTTCTATCTACTAAAAACCAGTTGATTGCATCGACTCGTTGACTCGGATGAAATCTCTCACACTAAGCATGCTTGTAGCAACAGTGGAGAGAAAAAACTCCCTTTTAACAGGAAGAAACCTCCAGCAGAACCAGGCTGAGTGTGAGCGGCCATCTGCTGAGGCCGACTGGGGTTCAAGGAGACAGAAGCAGAGATACAAAAAGCAGCTGTAAAAGGCGGCCCCGTCCAGGGAACACACAGCCAGGCAGACGAGCTCCGAGCCAGCTCCCTCTTTAATTTTTTGAGATATTACTACACTGAGGCTACATATTTTAAAACACTTTTAGATAGACAAAACTTCATTCAATTTATAAAAAAACAAAACAAATGTATTTTAATGCCTTCTTGCCAACTTAGATCAAGACTAACATGACATGTACAGTATGTCAGCGGATCAAACCTTGAGAGAATTGTCTTGCACTGATCAGTTTCTTTAAAAAAATTTTAACATGTAATACGCTTTTATCCATTAAATGAAATCAAATTCTCAAATTCATTAAGAAATCAAGTTCTTAATGAAATTGTGTAAGCTGTAAGATTTATTGAGACATAATATGTTTTTTGACTTCTTAACAGTTGTGATAACATGCATAAAAGTGACCATTTTTCCACATACTTGTTTGTATTTGGCAGAGAAATATGCTTGGAAAGCATTCTTTGCAGAAAGCATTGCTAATAGGACATATAGCTGGAGTACAATTGACTGGCAAATTGAGCTATTTCATAGCTTGGGATTCAGATAACATGCTGAGTTATAATTAAGAATGTTAACATGAAGCTATAAAAGGCAGTTGAGAGAAGTCAGAAACTTTTACATTAATACAAAAGGCAACCTTTCTTCTTGTTCTTCCCCTCCTTCTTCTCCTAACGCAGGTGTATGACCCTACAGCGGCGTATCTTGGGGCTCCTGTGTTTTATGCCCCCCAAACCTACGCTGCCATTCCTGGTCAATTCCGCTTCCCAGCAGCCAAAGCTCATGTAGGAGGTAGAGGACTGATTAGAACGCCTTCGGTCAGAGGTAAGAACAGTTTGTCTTAGGACAATCTGGATTATATGATGGAAGCAGATCTGCTGTCAGAGTTGAATTTGACTGCAGAGGCTGTTTAATCTGATGGTGAAGCTCCTCCCCTCAGCACAGACTGACCAGTCACTCCTTAGCTGCTGTCCTAGAAAATCAGGATCGCACACTGGCATAAAGTTGGCTTTGAGCTGTACATCTGTCAGATGTGACACTGAGCGGTGGATCTTCCTAAATCATCTGGACATAATGAACGTGGTTTAAAAATCAGAATACTTTATGGTAGGAATCATGTGAGATATTTTAAATCAGCTGAAGTTTGGTCATAAATTCACCTGAAAAATGAGAAATCACTCAGGTGTTGTTGTTGTTGTCAGTGATTTGATAATTGTGTGAAAGTGTGATTCTTCGTCCTTGCTGATTTCCAGTGATTTGATTGATTTACTGCCTCTCCGATCTCCTGTAGAAATTTACATGACTGTACCTGTAGGGGCCGCTGGGGTGCGAGGGCTGGGTGGGCGGGGCTACCTGGCCTATGCAGCTGGGGCTGGAGCCATGGGACGAGGGGGTGGAAGCAGTGCCTCCTATGGTATGAAGGGGGACAAACAGGCTGAAGAAAAGCTATATGACCTGCTGCCAGGGATGGAGCTGACACCGATGAATCCTGCTGCCATGAGCCTAAAGGCCACCGGCATCAAGCCACCGACGCAGGTGATGGGAAACACACAAGCAACATGACATATTTTTAGTTTTTTAAATTCCCATAGTGAACGCTTCCACCTCTTTGTACTCCTGTCAGGTTTTGGAGGAGCTGTGTCAGAAGAATAACTGGGGTCAGCCGGTCTATCAACTCCATTCGGCCATCAGTCCAGACCAACGACAGCTCTTCCTCTACAAGATCACCATCCCAGCTCTCGCCAATCAGTACCCCAACGTGTGAGTACATGGAGCTTATTCTTCCTTATATTGCAGCAGACTGGTGCTCCAGTTACTAAAGCTACAAGGTAGAAATTGATAACTGAGGGAAGAACCTCAATGTTTCTCTCATTGGTTGACTGAAGCTTACTATTGCCTCTGACAATGAGAGCAAGACACTGAAGGTGTAAGGAGACCCTTACCTCTTGGACTCCTATAATGGCAACCTCAGTTACCTTCAGTGGTTAAAGAAGGAAATAGCATAGGCTGAATTTCTCCGGCCTTGGAGAACATCTTTCAGCTGGACTGTAGGAAGTTCTGGGAGACTGTTAAACAAATCAAAAAGGAGAAGTAGGCTCCATTAAACACACTTGTGTGGTTTGGAAGAGAACAACCGATCCAGATCGATCGAATAAGAGTTATTTTAAATTATTCCTCAGGCCAATATACAGCGCTTGACAGTATCAATGCTACGAGCGGGTCTCTCCTCTTTAAATACACATTATGTAAGTTGGGAGATGACGCACCATTGTTGGCCAGGTCATAATTATCTCCTTTTTGAACGTAAGGTCTGAGGACTCAGTAGGAGACGATTTCTTCAAAATGACCGAAATCATTGTAGGAGAAATCCATTCCAGTAGTGGGGACATTACTTTTTAAGACTGAAAGCAGAACCAGAATTGTCATTAAACAGCAGAGAAATAGTAGCCTGACGTAGTCCTACTCAATTCTAGTCAGAATATGAGTCTGATACTGCTCCATAGAGCTGTGATTATGGGGCGTGTTTCGAACGAACTAGGAAAAAAAATGCCTCTGCACTCAATTGGATAGACCTGCAACCAATAAGAGCAACGGAGTCCGTGACGTATGTTAAGCGGCGCATAGTTGTTAACAAAAATCAAAGCGTGCAGTTGCACGCCTAGAATAAGAAGATGAGCCTTGATCGCGTTTCTCTTTTCCTCTTTTAAAATTAATTTGCTGTCGATATCTTCTAGAACAGACCTAATAGCAGAATCTACACACCTCAACTCTCCAGGGGCAGCCATTGTTACGTGGTTGATTACGTTACTGTTGATCATCTGTCCATCATCGTATAAAGCCCGCCCTGAGAATTTGGTTGGCCCGCCAGCTATTGTGCGAGCATACTCGCGCTACTGTTGAGCAATGCCAGACCGAACTTCCCGACCTCAAACGTTGTGGGCGGGACTAAGTTCGGAATGGCACCCAGGCTAGAGAAATAGGGTTGCAGACTAATTTATATTAATAAACTTTTTCAAGTTTACCGCATTCTATCCTTTTTGAAATGATGATCCAAGACAAACATTGTGACTCTTACCTATCTCAGATTTCTCAACTAGTGAGAGGATCATGGAAATTTGTATCACCACTCTACAGTATGTGTTTTGTGGACCTGGAGAATTAAAGGCTCCATTATGGTTACGTTTCAGGGTATCACATAGGAATCTGCTGAGGGGACATGAGCAAGAACAGGTGCTGATGGTGTTTGTATTTGAAGCTGACACTTGTACCATATTCTACAGAGAAGAACAACACCAAAAAAGTTATTTTATAACAACTTAATTCTGTTTATTGCAAAGTTCCATACAGTACTCATAGGAGGAAATGAAGAGGAAACCTCTTTTTGAACTCTTGACTTAAAGACTCTAAATAAAACAAAAAATTAAGTTTTAAATATAATTTAAACTAAGTATGTAATTGCATTATGTTACTCTCACTGTTTGTTTTTTGACAGTTTTGTTGTCTGTCTTTTGTTCTTCTTTGTGTATGAAAGGTTTGCATGTTGGTTGCAGTTTTTTTTTTTTTTTTTTTTTTTGCAGGATTATGAAATTATTTCGGTAATTTTAGGGAATTACCTTTAAAGAGCAAATCACAACCGAAAGAAAAAGGCAGATACATTTACAGAGTCAACTTCTATGCATGCAATACTATTATTATAAGCCAGCAATGTCTTGATTCTTGTCTTGGGTTGGTTTTTGCCACAAGCAAAGAACAAGAAAAAAAAACTGGTGAATTGTAGTTTAAAAATTTAATTGTTTAAAAGCGAATAGAGCTGCCACTGACTTTGGAGTTCTGATGCATAGTTTTAGCTTCTGTGTCATAAACCAATGAGTCATATTCAAAAATTATTTCAAATAGTAATAAAAAATGAGATAAAATTTAAGGTTACAGAATTACAGAGAAATCAAGAACCAAACAAGTGTCATCATATTATTTTCAGTATGACTATAACCTGGACACATAATTAAATATGAAAAAGATTAAAATTAGCATGTTCATTGAAATAGAAATACATACATATTATTTGAAATTAGTATTTTTGAATAGCATGCAAAACCTTGTCATAGGACCTTAAGTGTAAATAGTATAGCAGTGAAATTAAAATACCAATACTTTATTTGGATTGTAGTTCATGGTATCATGAACTGGCCCTTTTACTTATAAATCTTGTAATTTTACTGTTATCTTTTTGTAGACATCCCTTCACTCCTGCCAAACTGTGTGTGTCAGTGGAAGAAGCCAAGGTCCATGCAGCCGAACATACCCTGCAGACACTCGGCCTGCAGACAGAGGGCGCTGCTGATGCCAGCTGTGCTACTGCAGCTGCTGTGGCCTCAGTAGCCTTCCCAGGTATGTGAAGGTCCGTACCCAAGTCCAACTAACTTTTCACTCACTAAAGCACCAACAGAATCTATGTGAAGATCAGAATGAACCAGAACTGGTTCACATTTGTGATTTATGAAAGTTTTGTTTTAGTTTTTCTAAATCAGAAGGATTTTTCTATTAGATGGCTTTTCTTTTGTTTCTTTCTCTAGGCTACGCACTGGCGAGCCCTGCATCCTCAGGAGTCGCCTCCCAGCTAAAGCAGGCTGTCTCTCTTGGACAAGATCTAACTGCCTACACAACGTACGAGGGCTACCCTGCATTTGCCTTGGCAGCTCGCCACACTGATGGATATGGTGTTTTCTAAAGCAGCCTTTTCGAGGGAAGTTAAACTGCATTTATACCACAATGCTTTCCTTACTACAAAATTTGATTCAGTTTAGAAAAAGCAAACTCTGTGACCTGGCAGGTGGTCAGATTTTTTTTTGGCTCTTAGTTAATAGCAGGTTTCAAGTAAACTGGTGCAAACGTAGTATTTAGCTGTTGTGTTTAGGTTATACAGGGAGAACAAACTCTGTTGAGTTTAGTTTAAAACCACTTCAGTCTCATCCCAGATAGCTGCTGCTGAAAACCAGTGGGACTCGTCAGGGGCCCAGAAACAAACTCTTAATCTTTGACATTTTATCTTTCACCTTCTCTCCTTTTTTTTTTTGCTCCTATTCAATTAGAATTATTAATTGTCAACACTTTGGTCCAAGTTTCTAAAAACTGCCTCTGATTGGCTGATTCCCTTATTCTGGTTAGATGTTTACAGTATGACTTATCTCTAACCAAGATATGTACTTTTAACGTGTCCTATACTGATGATTTCAATCACAATTGGGATGTTAGCTATTCTTCAAACCTTTTAATCATATATTTTGTTTTTTGATAGAATGAAGAAAATAAAGACATTAGGCGGATGAAACTGTAAACTTTAAAGGATGCCAAAGTCCTCTTAATAACATATGTAAGGAAAATGTCTTCTTATTTTTATTTTCCATCTCTGTAAAATTGAGAGCAGTCTTTATTTTAGATTGAAGCCATTTGAGTAATGAAGTACCACAAAAAAATATTTGGCAGGGCTTAAGGGTTGTAAAAAACTGTATACAAAGTTTCCTGTTTTATACAAGTTCATATGAGCTTTTTAAAAGCATAGTTTTCATTTGTATTATCTGTGGTTCAGTAGGATTGTTTCTCTAGGGCGTAAAAACGCTCAGAAACTTTGTACGAATGACGTTTGCTGTCTTATTGCTGATACTTTTCTGTTTGTTATCAGTGTTCTTATGTTCTCACTGAATGTTTTTTTTATTTTCTTTTGTAAGTCTGTTGCATTAGTTAAAACGCACCTCCTTTCTATCCTACAATCCAAGGTGTTATCTTTATTTGAGATTTGCAACCTGGTTCAATAACTAGAGTGAGGTTATAGGTAGAATGGTAAGGTGTCAGGCTTAAATAATGCTCCAGGGAATCCTGATTGGTATTTGGACAAAAGCAGCTGCTGACAGCAGCAATAACATTTGGTTTAACTTTTGCTTTTTTTTTTGACTGAAGGTTTGTGGATATTTTAGAACAGATGACACATGTTGGCATCCGAGCTGTGAACATGCCGAAGCAGAGACAGTATTAAAGTGTGTGAAGCACTTAGAACTTATTTTTGTACCTGGAATCAGATAAAATATCCAACATATTTGTACAGAGGTATTTTAACTTGTCTTTGCTGCCATAATTGACTTGGCAAGAAAAACGTGATGCTGAATCAGAACCAATCCGTAAAAAAAGAAAAAAATTGTGGGCATTCTTGGAAACTTTTGTGATTCATTATCTGTTATTGTGTGTAATCTGAAATGATGAAGTAAAAAATTAACAAACAATTTAATTGTATGGGTTTCATCTTTTACTGTTTAATTGCAGAGTTTTATATCTCTTCAAGCTAAGGAAGATTTGGTATTGTGTTTTCTCCAAGGTGGATATAGATGATTGATTTAATTTCAGAGCAATTTATTTTTTGCACCTAGTCTTAAGGCACTTTACAGAGACAATTGTTTTTAGATCATACAGACAGACTGCAAAAAAAAAAAAACAACACACACACACAAAAAAAAACATAAATTGCAGTTTCTGCATCATTTCATAGGTGTAGAATTTGACAGGAAGACTTTACTTGATTTACAAATTGTTTATTATTTAAAAATATGTTCACTTGAATTGTTATGACTTGTGCTTGATATTATGACCAAATTAGAGAATCTGCAATCATGATAAAAAAAGAGGCAAATTGCACATACCCTGCATTTCCACTATACATACATATACATAAACCAGCTGCAAATACAAAATGTTGCACAAACACATAAACACAAAAATGATGCTAATCTACAAATCGGGTCGGATCTCATCCAAACTCCAAAGTCTTGTCACATTGTTGAATTTAGCCCATGCTATTAAATAGACTGACAATGAGCACCCATCCTCTGCTTCCACTAGGATAGGTGTTAAAACCTGGTAGAGATCATCAAAATACTCCTTCCTCCATGCCACTAAGTTCTCACTCAAGGTCAACAGTCATCTGTTTTGACTGTTTTTGCCTCAGGAGACCCACAGGCCAACCAGATGTCTACCACAGACCTTTTGACCATAGCTAAAGGCAGCTGTATCAACAACAAAGATAGAGAGCACAGGCCACTTTGCCTCTAAGTCCCCAGCCTTTCACAGAAGAGACATTCCAAAACATTTGGCCAAGGGTCAGAAGATGGGACAGCTGATAACTGACCTCCATAAGAGGGAGTCTTAATGGCAAGAGTCCTTATCATGTTTGAACATAGTGATCGATATGGACAATACAATAATACCATAGAAGTCCTTAAAGAGACAACACTAGGGTTCTGGGCAAGGGGTCCATTCCTCCTTAGTGATGCCCCTCCAGCTTTTACTGTTCTTTCCTAAATCAGAATTGAAGTACCTCAGTAGAATTATGGATTCCCCAAGAGGGGTCTGCATTGCACCACTGCCAGGAATGCAAAGAAAGCTTAATACTCTGTGCCACCAATCAGCCCTTAAGCAAAGAAAAAGGTCAGAGCCATCTTCCCTACCTGAAGGTGCAGAAGATCTTTAGGTTACTTTCATAACCCCAGTTCTCTGAGTACCATGAGTGAGTGTCTTACATTGGGAACGCCTTCAGCGTGACTTCATCAGAACCTCTTCTACATTATGCCAGCCTGGATTTGCTGGAAACTAAGCCTGCTATTGTCAGAGAGGGCAGGGTCCCTCCCCCTATATATAGGAATGGACTGCACTGACAGTTATTCAAAACAATAACCTCTTCCTGGCAACGTTACAGCGAGGAGGGTGATTTGGTGAGACACCAAACACGTTACTCAGGGAACAGGGGTTACTTTGCACTGAATGCACCAGTGATGAAGCTGCGACATCAAGTTTGTAGCTGGAAAACAAGCTCCAGGAGAGTAATATCAAAGAAGTGTGGTCTGGGATGAAGAAGATCAAAAGCTCCAAGCAGAATCAGGATCATAAAAATAGAAGTATGGACAGAGCCGATAAACTGAAAACATTTTTAACAGGTTTAATTGAGGAATAAGCTCAGCATCCTTCGATTCAGTGTATTCTCATTATGAGTTCGTACGAAATCGTACGAAAAGTTATGCACCGTAATTTCGTACGTTCTGGACGTTTTTTTCGTCGTATTTCGTCGTATTTTTACGTCTTGCCTCGAGACAAGATATCCTTGCGCATGCGCATCTTACACACCATTCAATAACATAGAATTTAACATACAATTAACCCTAATCCTGACCCTAACCCTAACCCTACAGTAAGATACAAAACAGCAAGCAACCTAGTGAGAGACATCAAGAAGTAATTATTGCACTGTTTTTCCCAGTTTTACATCCGTCCGCGGATCTGCTTTTTTCGTCTGTCTGGCTGCGCATGCGCACTGATCTGTTTTTTCGAGGAAAAACGTCCAAAACGTCCAAAATACTGTGAATAACTTTTCGTAGGATTTCATACGAACTGACAATGACAATATGTTGTTCGATTATGGTCAAAGTATAATGGACATTCCACCCTCTTTTGACCCAAAGCTCCTCTGTCACACGTCAAATGCTTCATCTTGAAACTTTGCCTTGGACCCTATGGCTTCTATGTGTTTGTTCTTAGGTAATTCTGAAGATGATTCTGCTCTCTCACCCTTCCACCTGTCTGTCCCCAGAAATCAAGTGAAGATGCAACTGAAGAGACTGAATAAAGCATCAGGGCTAATGTCAGCCTCAGAGTCCTGAGAGCCTGTGCACAGCAGCTCTGTGGAATTATACAGCATCTCTTCAATCTTAGCCTTACCCCAGTTCCAGAGTTGTGGAGGACCTTTCTGCCTGGTTCTGGAACTAAAAGAACTCAAACCAACTGCCCTCAATGACTAGGGTGCTGTTACCCTGACATCCCACATAATGGACGTCCTGGAGAGAATTCTGTTGGTCCACCTGAGCAAGCAAACAAGTAACAATGAGCACTCTGTGTAGTTTGGTTATCACAGAGGAGTTGGAGTTTAAGATGCCAACATACACCTTTTTGAACATAACCGTTGTTGTTGCCATGATTTTGGAGCTGATGGTTGGCTTGATTGCTTATTTCATTCAACTGTCTTGCTCTGTCCTGTTTCTCATCAATACTCATCTGATCTACCTGCTCCTGCTTCTATTTAAACTCCTTGGTCCAGGCCATCAGTGCCAAATTATTCTTGAGCCTTTGGTGTAGAGGGTTTTCGAGTGTTAATTATAGTGTTCCATTTGCCTGATCCTTACCTGTTTCTGTATTCGGACCTTTGAGCTTGCCTGCCCATTTTTTTATCTGTTTGCCTGACCTATCTTCGGACTCCTGATGGATTCTACTGAGGACTGAAGGATCTGCCTCTTGACTTTGCCCTGGAGGTTATTGTCTTCCTTTGTTTGTTTGGATCTGATCTCCAGGATTTTGGTTTTGTTCTAGGAACTACTCCTGAATCTCTGTAGATGATTTTATATAAAATTATTTTTCAAAAAATGAAAGAACAACATTGTGAACAGCGGCATAAACCCAGTTCATAAGTCTGTTATACCACAACAGAAAGGCTTCTGCATATATGGGTTAAGACAAACCGTTACAGAGCATTCCTGTCTACAGCTGTCAACATCTACAACAACTTGTTAAAAGGGCCAGATGAGTCATTATGACATTTCATTTTAATTTGATAATTAATTTTTTTTTATTTAACTGAATTAAAATCATAAGCTTCCAGAACATCATTTGTGGTAACAGTGTTAAATTGCTGCAACAGTAACTTTTCAATGATCATTGCTGTCTTGCTTTCTACACACCGTGTATACAAATGGAGACATATTTTTTAACCTTTTTGAATCAGTAAAAACATTTAAAAGCTGGAAGAATATGAGACAAGCAAACATTACATTTGCTCCAGTCAGTAGATTGTGAGAGTGGTAAGGGAAAAAAACATGCTTTGTGAGCCCTAGTTAATCTTCTTATGTAAGCGCTCATTTAATTCAGTTTGCAGTCTGTAATCCTCCATCCGCTGTGTGTTAATCTAGAGGAGAAAATGTGGGAGGCAAAAATTTGTTAGACATCTGCAAATATTCAAAATGTTGAAAAGAAATGTGACACACTGCATTTAATTATCCAAACATGAAGTGGTTTGGCAGCACAATGAGTATCAGACATTTACTGTACATGTTGGTTTTTAGTTTGCTGCCAGAGGTACAGTTATCCTTTCAACTTTAACAAAATAGTGATTTCTTTAAAAATCTTACCTAAATTAAAGAGGGTACATTATACATTCACTAAAAACAGGGGAATTTGAAAATCTAAATGTCCTGATGTAGTCTGCTGTTTTCACAACTTTAAAGCTTTTTGAAACAATAAATAAACCAAACAAAATAAAAGGATAAACTGGATAAAAAAAGATGTCACCACATCACATTTAGATAAATAATGTAATCTTAACAACCTAACCCTGATTCTCTGAGAGTGAGAAGCCCCTTTTTAGTTCCAGGAATTAACAAATGTTTTTTTTATTTTGTTAATAATATATTTCATAAAGAAAATCAGTTCTCAAATGGAATGCATTTCCCGAATAATCAATTTTCATCCACTAATAGTTGGGAAATCTTCTTATAACCATGTCTTGGTGATGGCTTTTCTAGACTGCGCCAAGGATTTGCAACAAATATGCTTCCTGCTTTTGCAGCCTTGCTGAAATTTTCCCAAGACACAACACAGAGGTTAGATCAGCCTATTCAGTAGAACGCTAAAATCATATAAAGATTTTCCTACATTTTCTCCAACTTCCCAATGTTCAGCACAGTTACTTTGTATGTATTTTTGTTCTAAAATATCCTATTTAAGACCCCAGGTGAATACTCTCCAAAGGTTTAAACTGGAAGCATTCTTCTCCTCCCTTCATTGTATAAAATGCTACCTTTATCCTTTAATTATTTCAATTCTGTAAATGTTGCTTTTTTTTCGGGATTGGGGGGGTGTTCTATATAGTTTCAGTTTAAGAAAAATCAAAAAGTCATTAATGTATGAAAGTAGTAAAGTGGAAATTGTTGTTCTTGCCTGGATTTTTCCTCGGATCTGACGGGATAACAACTTTGTCTCTCTCATTGTGCTCATGATGTCATCAAGAACAGAGAGAGAGGGAGGGGGAGAGAGAGAGAGCTTTCAGAATGGTCAACTCTTTCCTCTCTCCTAGTTTTCCTCTCATTTCTCAGAGGATCAGAAGCATGATGGAGCCTCCGCGGAGCCTGAACAGTCCAGATTTGGAGATTAATAGTCTGCAATTGGACAACCACCGAGGTTAGTGCCTGCTAATGCTATTCATGTAAGCCTGATGTGGTGATTTGGAGTGCCCCTGTCAGAAAATATAAACCTTAGGCAAGAAAAATGTGTTTATAAAGTTTATAAAAGCATAATAAATGGTTGTATATTTTTTTATTAAGTTTAAAATTATTTTTCAGTCTTTAATGTCAGCTTTTATCCTTTTCTCAACTGACAATCAGTTTTCTACTGCTTTGCAGTGGGATTAAAAACAAACCACAGCTACATATTTGTCTGTTATCTTCTCATTAATAACACTAATAAAGATGCAGCTATAGTAAAGGGCTACAACCACCTCAAACAATTCAACTCATGCAACAGCATACCCATCAATTTGGTCCTGCTGCAAAGGCTCAAAGGCTGCAAATAGCTGAAAAATCCCCTAAGGTCACTGTTAACGGGCAATGAGAACTTTAATACTATTGTCGGGACACATAAGCAAGTAAAGGAGTATGCATGTAAGCCATATAGCCCCCTGCATGTTCCAGTACCGAATCTAACAATCTTCAGGGAGTATAGACCTGTTGCCCTGATATCCCACACCACAAAGGTTCTAGAGAAACTCTTGTTGGTCCATCTGAGTAAGCAAACAAGAAGTCATCAGGACCCCCCTGTAGTTTGCTTATCGCTGTGGAGTTGGAGTTGAAGATGCCATCACGCCTGCTTTAACAAACCCACTCATTTATACAAGGCAGAGATATTCTTTGACAGGGGCAGATTTTATAACTTTGGGGCCCTAGGCAAAGAGAGGCAGGGGGCCCTCTGAATTAAAAAGACAATGCATAAAACAGACCCATTATACAATACAGAAATTTGAATAGAATAGACATACATTATTTGTTCTAGGTTTTGTCCCTCTCCCCTTGTCCCATTTCTTGTTATTTTCCCCTCTATGTTTTGTACTCAGCAGACCTTTAATGCTGTGTCAAAGCTGATTGATCCTTCATGTCTTTCCAAAAGGCGTCAGCAAAAGTAAATAACCCGGTCCTTCTTTCCACTGTAGACAAGCCATGATCTGTTCTCCATTTTTCATTTGTATGAAATAACAGCTGCATTAATCATGACAGCAGATGAGGTAGAGGAGAGCAGGAGGCGGGGTTACAGATCTACTGGCTCTAGGGAACAGAGTTTGGTGCTTTTATATGTTGTCGCCAAACTCTCCACTAGCAGAAAAGTCACTAGATTTAGCACTAGGCGCTTTTTAGAAATGAAAGTACTGGAGGGGTGTGAAAAGTTGCTAAACATAGCGACAAAAAGCGCTAAGCTGGACCCACTATTCTTCGCACCACTGTTTTCAAATGTTTTGCTGCTGTCTGTTTGGACCTTTCTGAAAATGTGCACCAAATGGACTGATCTAATGTGGTAGACACTGAGCGGAGGTTGGGGATCCTGAGACACGCTTAATATTATAAGCGTTCTGATGGCATTTTAGCAAAAGGATTTTAATCAAAAATATAATTAATGTGTACAAATAATGAAAAGTTGTATTGACTATACATGTACATATAGTTTTATGGGGCCCCCAGGAACTAGCAGGGCCCTAGGCAACTGCCTAGTATTGCCTAATGGTAAATCCCCTCCTGTTATTTGATTTATCCGGTGCATTTAATACAATTCAACCTAAACTACATTGTCAGAAGTTCTGGAGGACTCGGATGAAGTCTTAAATAATCTCCTGGATCAAAGACTACATGACAAACAGACTGAAGGGTCAGCTGTCTTATCAGGTAGTCAGGACCACAGGAGCACCACGGAGAACTGTTCTCTCACTTTTCCTTTTCACTCTGTACACCTCTGACTTTCACTACCAGATAGAGACTTGTCATCTGCAGAAATAGTCAGATGACTCTGGAGTTGTTTGATATAACAAGCACTAGCTTTGTAATTTTGTTTTATTATTTTTCATTGGATCAAAGTAATTTAGGTGCTGAGAGGGTAAAATTAAATTTTTTTTTTTACGTTGTAGAATTTCCATTTAATTTTAAATGATTATCCTTTACTTCTGCATGCTATTGTAAACAAAAAACACAGGTTCTGCTGGAGCACAGGTGGTATTTCCAGAGAGCTCCTTAAGTTTTTTATGCTCATTGTTAGAGTTTGTAACTTAAATGTTATAAGAATGGGCTAAAACTGATTATTTCCGAAAGTTGTATTTTAGAAACATTCAGGCTGTAAATAAAATCTACTGTAAGAAGAACTGATAGCTGTTAATGTGATGCTGCTTAGTGATAAAATTGAAACTCTGCTTTTTGCAGCTATTGTGGCTCAAGGATAACAAGATATATTGTTTACTTTTGTTAAATGCTTGCAGTATGCTTATCTTTGGACTAGAATTTGAGTAGCATCTCTGACAAAAAAATTAAAAGTTGTAAGTGTAATGATGAATGTTGGTTGGATCAATATATCCTCTCATCCTCTTGGGTTTATTTTTTCTTTATTTTTTTTTTTTACTTCCAAAAAGAAACAATCCAAAAATAAAACAAGGATGTATAAGAACAAAAAATGCAACTTCTCCAAAAATCAGACCACTGTGCAGTTAAGGTTTTAATATCTCATAGCTTTATTTTCCATTTATGGAAAAGGGTTCAGACAGAGAAGTAATAATTTAAGGCACGATCATAATTTTGATAACCTGACTACACAGATGATATTTTGAGTTGTACTTTCTCGTTTTGTGGGCTAAGGTAGGGCATAGAGATTGAAATCCTAAGGTTCTGAGTTTGAACCCACTCCCACAGACTGCCACTTTGGGTCTCTGAGCAAGACCCTTAACCCCACACTTGATGTCTAAAGTTGTACATTTGTACAATGCATGGTGTACATTTTAGTGCTTCCTCATCTTTTTGGAAAGTAGTTGTCAGTTCTCTGGAGTTCTTAGCAATCAGGTAAAATGTTGTAAGTTCTGAGGTATTAAGGTGCATTCACATCGAACGTGACACCTGTAAAACATTTTGCCTATCACCTGCTTTGTCTCACCTTGATATTTGACTGGTCAGCGAAAGAACTTTGGACAGCACCATTTTTTTTTCTTTGGAAAGCCATAGAAACTGTCGGCATGAGTTTAGGACATTTGAGAATGTCTGGTTGAAGGTCGCTTTCATGGGTACCTCCACCTATCTGTGACCTAGTTAGAGGCTCTGTTGCCCACATTGGGGGATGATCGAGTAGATCAGATAAATCCACCGGGAAGACAGATGACTGAGGGCGTTTCAGACACTACGGCTGCCTGGGAGCAGGACAATCCTATATCTGAGAAACCAGCCTTGGAGGCAGAGCTAATGGCTGGCGGTGTTTCCTCTAGGGTAAGTACTCGAGATGAAAGGAGTGCAGATACCGGTGGAACGGGGGAAAGAAGGTATCAGTCTCCACTGGAGATAAGACGATGAAACATTCTTTCTTTGAATAATGTCATGTTTTGGTTTTCAGACTCTGAATAGGAGCAATCACGGAGGCAAGGATCAGTTAAGGGTTTTATTGAAGATTTGTGGTTGTACAGCGTGAAGTCCGTCAGGCAGGGTTGTCAGGATACTGCTGGAAGAGGTTTGGTGACAGGTGAGCAACAGTTCGGTGCTGGTTGAAGAGTGAGGGATGTGTGAGACTCACAGGGAGGGCGGCTTTGCGTCTGTCTTGGGAGGATGGTGACCAGTGATCCAGGCAAATGGTGCAGGTCCGGTAGGTGAGAACAGATGGTGGTGTCTGAGGGTGGACAGGCAGGTGAGCTCTGGCAGGAGGGCTTTTATGGTTCTGAGGCCTGAAGCCTCACTGGTTCTAAGAGGCTGACTGAAAATGCCTCTAACGGGAGTCCAAAACGAAGAGGTCTCTGGAGTGGTTTCAAGGCTTGGGATCCTGGGTTCTAGAAGAAGGATGCGCGTCTGACCTTAGTGTGGACAAGCAGCTAAGATGAAGCTGCAGATGCTACTTTGCTGCTCAAATCATGTTTGGTATGAATGTATTATAAAAGGAAAAGAGCTCACTGTTTCTTTGTGGAGGGAATTTTGGTAGCCCAAACTGCTGATCTCCATCTCCATGGATAATTACCTTCTCAGCATGAATAAATGGACACCCCCTCCTTTTCTTAGACAGGATGAGGGGATGAATAGGAATGGCAGCAAAAAAAGTTTATCCTTTTTTATTGGTTTTTCCCTAATTAGATTATTATTTAAGTTAAATATAACTTAATATTCAATCTGGTGAATTTGGTTTTCTTTTCTTTTTTTTTTTTAATTGTGCTTTTCTATGCATCCACATGAACCACATATAATCCTTTTTCGAAACAGAAGTAAAGCAGAGAGTGAATATACTAATGTTTGTCTTAATGTTTTCCTGCAATAAAAACAAATGCAGCCAGAAAATGTTCAACTCATTTGAATACGTTTTTATGTCTGCATCAGAATTACAATGCCTGTTTGTATCAACTTGTGAGGTGTCTGGACCCACACTGAATAAAGAAATACTTTTTTTCTAACAGCTGGAACTAACTTCCCTTTTCAGAACCGACCTGCACCTCCTCTTCAAACTGTTTTTTACTTCTCCTCTCAGTGAGCTGTCTGAATGTGGCCCTTGGCTTGTAAAGTTTGGAGCCTCCTGTTGTTGCAGCACTCTGAGCTGTCCTCATCTCCTCAACAGGCTCCTTGTTCAGCTTTCAGCCTCTCAGTGCAACTGTAGACTAAAGCCTTTTGTACTCAAACACAGGAAAACAAGGAGGGATGGGGCATCAAAAAAGATGAATAAATAAAGGAAGGAAGAGAATAGGGATGAATAATTACAAATCAACACTGTGACAGAATAAGATAAACCTCTTTGTACATTTATTTTCCTAAATATTAGTCTTTCTTTTGGTTTAAAAGGTAAGAATTAATGATAAATGATTTGATATTGAATATTTGATGCTGAATTTCCTTGTTGGATGTTTTTTTGATTCAGTCTAACATGATATTGAGTTTGAATCTGATTTAGGGTCAGATTACCAGACCTTTAATAGATTAATCCCTCACTGTGACTCTGAAATAATCCTCTTACATCACGGAAACGCCTCGAACATCAAAGAGGATGGGAGCACCAAAACGCCCCTCTTCTTTATCTTTACTGCACAGCACTTCCTGCAAAACACACCAAGCTTCTGTCATATTGACATTGATCGAAACCTTCATCAACTGCTGCTGTTTGCATCCAAAACAACTGTCAGTTCAAATATCGATACAGATACAACACAAATATGAGACAGGAAGAATTTTATGCATTTAAAAGAGCAATAATTAAGAAATCTGATGAAAAATTAAGCAAAATTAGTCCCATTTGTCACCGGGATGGAAGTTACATTCCCTATAACCAATTAGTGCTCTCCATTAACAATGCCTTAGTCAAACTTTTCTCCGACCTAGATCTATGTTTCTGCTAAAGAAGTATTTCAGTGCAGTGTGCAGCACATGTTTACTGCCTGGTTCCTATAGGTTTTTTGTGTTGCTCTGATCTGTTCTAATCTGTTTTTTCCATGTCTGTTTTGTTTACCAGCATCAGAGCAAATGACCTAGAGAAGCTTAAACTGATGCAGTTGTTGATATGAGAGGAACCAGTACTAGCTCCATAGTTTTTAGCATTTGTAGTAGGATCAAAGGTATACAGGTGATGAGAAGGGATAACAATTCTCTGGTTTCTTATCCTTTAGAAATTAAGTTTAATTTTTAAAGTGATTATGTTTTATTGGTACATGTTAATGGAGAAACAGTTAACTGAGTATTTATATTGTTAAAGCACTGTACAGTACAATACTCTATTTGTTTTATTTTCCTATCTGTTAGTTGTATACTTTTTTTCTAAGGTGCACATTGTAACCTTTTGCTGCTGTAACACCACAATTTCCACATTGTGGGAAAAAAAAGGGATTTTTTTTCTGTTCTATTCTATTCTATTCTATTCTATTCTATTCTATTCTATTCTATTCTATTCTATTCTATTCTATTCCAACGCAAATAAGCAACACAGGTTGGACCACAAGAGAGATCAACAGAAATTACTAAATTGTTTTCTTCATAAACATTTTTCATTTTATTGTTATAGGAATGGCCTAATGTTTAATTTTTTTTTATTTCATTTGGTAGAATTCTATAAATAATCTGTTGCAGGTTGCAAAAATAAAACATGTAACTCAGGTAATTTAAAAGTAGCAATGATGTTAAAACCTTATTTTTAGTGTTTTGGAGGAGTTACGTTATGACGGGACAATCTGACCTTAAACTATAAAAGGTATAGATTATAAAATAATTACAATAAGCAATATCAGCAGAAGATTTTTATTGATTTTGGTTGAAAATTAGTTTTCATAAACGTCTGGTTATATTAGGATCAAAGCTGTTCATATGATTTTCCCATTTATGAAAGTTTCAAAGATTCTCAAAACTAGATTCATAAAGATTTCCTCAATTTTTTTCACAGTGCAACATATTATAAACCAATCCAATGAATTTGGAGAAATTTCAGGGAGCAGCTACATCAGTGACTGCTCAAATCATTAGTAAACAGTAAACACACACACAGTAAACAATCTGTGCAGACACTTAATCCATCTAGCTCTATGTCTGCGATGAAAATGAGTTGTAGTTTTTGTTCTCGTGCGATTCTGTTAAATATGTTGTTTCAACATATTTAACATAACCAGAGCTGGCAGTAAACAACGCATCAGAGACAGAAGGGATGAACTTCCAGCAGTGCTGGCCAGTGTCCTATAATAGAGTGATGTTTCACAGTTCAAGATATTTGGTTTTTCAGAGTCAGAGTCTGCAGACAGCGACATCGGAGATGTGGACAAGCTTCCAGTTCCTCAGCACATACACATCAGTAACATCACATGCGATTCCTTCAAGATCAGCTGGAACATGGACAGCAGAGGCCAAGATCGGATCACACATTACTTCATTGACTTGAACAAGAAGGAAGACAAGAGCTCCAACAAGTTCAAACACATGGTGAGACATTCAACTGATGATTTGGTCGTTCACTCCAGATGGGGGATCTTGGTGTTTGCCGGTTAACTAAAATAAATTTTAGAGCCACTTACTTTATTTCTTGCTCTGCTTGTCTTCTAGGATGTACCAACCAAGCTGGTTGCCAAGGTGGTTCCTCTGCCAATGACAGTGAGAGGTCATTGGTTCCTCAGTCCCCGAACAGAATACACTGTGGCCGTTCAGACAGCTACCAAACAGCAAGATGGGGAATACGCTGTTTCTGCATGGAGCGAGATCATTGAGTTCTGCACAGCAGGTCAGACAGGAACATTGAAAAAAACAGCTCTGTGCTTCAATTTCTAATAACAAGCAAATTGTCTTAGGTATATGTTGCTGTGTTCTTGCACAGAAAGTTATGAACAAGTATCTATAGACATTAGCTTTAATCTAAAGTCAAAATAAAATGCAGACTATTTTAGTGAGTGTGCAGCAGCAAATAAAACACTAAAACACTTTTTTTGCAGATTACTCCACCATCCAGCTTAGGCAGCTTCTGCAGAAAGCTGAAGCTATTGCTGGCAGGATGTTACCTTTCACAGTTTTCTACAGAAACCAGCAGAGAGAATACTTTCAGCCAAACAGGTGTGTCCTGCAGGTATCCCTTCACCAATGCTTTAGGTAATAAAATGCATTTTTAACCCCTGTGTGTTTTGTGAACAGCCAATATTACAGTTCCAGAGATGTTCAGTGCTGCCGCATGCTCCCATCAGTGAAAGACAACAGCGGCAGCCATGGGTCACCCATAAGTGGTAAACTGGAGGGCATCTTCTTTAGCTGCAACACCGAGTTTAACACCGGACGACCTCCACAAGATTCTCCATACGGGCCATACCGCTTCCAGGTACTTCTGACAAGCTGAAAATTTAAAGACTGCAGTATCATGACAGTCTTACTTTATTTATCAACCCAGAAGCCAAAAATCCTTTATGTCAAAAACTTTTTGCTTCATTGGGGTGTGTTTGAAGACTGGGGTAGCAAAAGCTAACGCTGTTGGTTCCATGATGTATGCTTTAAATTTGGAAAAAAAAACAAAAACATGACTAATTGGTGTGAGTGGCCTTAGTTGATGTAATGTCAGTGATATAATCAATGTTGTGCCAGTTCATTGTTAAAAAGAACTAACTGAAGGTTCAGTTCACACAGATGAAAATAAACTAGCTCACTGTCATAGTTCAATTTCTAAAAAATCAGTTAAGTTCACAAACATATAAATTAACTGGTTCAAGTTTATTTGGTAAATTAAGCCAAAATCTTACACAATAGAACCTCATATTTCACTGTTTAAATGTGGGATCATATAATATTGAAAGAAATGGAAATACTTGATGCTTTCAAAATATACGTGTGCATTGATGCCAAATTACATAGAATTTCACAAACATACAGGTAAATTTAGTTTCTGCTGAAAAGATCTGTATCAAATTGATTTCTTACGTTTCTCATTCAGTAGCAGATTTCCCAAGATAGTTTAGATGCTTTGACTCAATGTGTCGTTTTAAAGTTGAAGTAGACGTGGTTGACGTACAGAATTGTTTTTTAAGTTTAGACAAAAATTTTAGTTTTTTTCCTTTGCTCTGATAAACTGGCATCAGAAATACCAGAAGATGAGTCTGAATCATACAGACTAGTACTAGCAGCAGACATGCTGGTCTGTCATGCTGTTTAATTTAAAAAGTGACGTAAAACCTGACGTTATCCAATGAAAAGTGCTGTTATTGAACATGAGCCGTGTGTGTCGCTCATTATTCTCAGAGTGAAAGTCGCTCTCGTTATCATTCATTACCTCAAAAATGATCCATTCAGTTCTTCGTTCACTAAAAAAATGAACGTATTCTGTAAATACAGCTACATTGTTAAAACATGATTCAAAAAGCCATACACAAAAGTCATACAAAACAGACTTGAAAGATCCAGGAGAATAACGGGTGGTCATTGATTTGCATCTAACTTGGAATGTGCTGAAGAAGATGGGCCTCTGTTGATTAAAAAAAGCATCATTCCAACTGCAGATTGCTCCAGAGCAGCAGTCTCAAGATCTACTGTCCTGCAGGTTTTAGAAGCATCCCTGTTCTAAAACAGCTGAATAAAATGACTGTCTTGTCAGTAGTCCTTTGCCAAACTTAGTGGCATGCTAAAGAGGTAATATGGTCATTTTATTTTGCTGTGTTGGAGCAGGGATGCCTCTAAAATCTGCAGGCTAGTAGATCTTGAGGACCAGGGTTGGAGATCCCTGCTTTAGAGCTGACAAAATTTGCAAAGACTCCAGAATAGATGTCAAAATATTTCCCTCCAATTAAGCCTGTTTTGTGGTTTTTTATGACAAGGATAAATAACAATTTGAACAGGCATGTTTGAAACTAATTTTGAAATGTTTTTTATTTAATTATAATCTGTAAATATGATGTGTGATATTTGCCCAATTTTCCCAGCAATTGGTCAAATATTAGGGTTGACACTAAGCTGATATTTTTGGTTGAAGCTACTTGTGCACAAGTTTCTGTGTGGCGTCTTTGCACACGGACACCTATGCTCTCGATTACTGATCAATAAAGCTCATCTAATCTAATCTGATGGTGCCTCTGTGCCTGGCTACCCCCCAAATGCCAGACGTTATTTAGACAATGGTTTTTACTAAATCTGGTCGGTCCGTCATAGTCTTGATTTAGTCCAGAAATTGTTGCTAAATATTGAGCTGGGTTTGGTCCGTCTGATTTTCTCCCACATTAGTCCAATTATACGTGTCGAAAAGACGTTGCAAACCCAGTTTTCAACGTGTTCTCAACAATCTGAAAATTACGGCTTTCCACCTTTCATTTTTCGACCAAATGTAAAGCTTGTTTGGACGTAAATCATCATCATCTTTTCATCGTCTTTTCTACCCATTTTTGCTTGGTGGGTAATTTGTAGGAAGGAGACATACCTCTTTAGTGAGCCCTTTCCTAATTACCTCTGTTGATTCTTAGTCATCCAGGTCATGACAGCCAAAAACAGGCTTAAATTGGAAATCAAACTGATTTTTGCTCTGTTTATTTTAGATATTTCAATACGTATCCAGGAGACTTTGTCAATTATGTTGGCTTGCACCAGAGCAAAACTTTTGCTAGAGCGCTGATGTAGCAGCATTTAAGCAGTATGTAGGACCAACCTCCTGAACACATTCCAAGTTATATGTTAATCAAATACCCGCTCGTTGTTCTTCTGGATTGTTGGAGCTGTTTGTTATGCATGGGCTGCGTGGTAGGTCTTTTGAAAGATAATGGGAACGCTTATGTAAGTTCTTGGGAATGAGTTCCATTACAGAATTGTAAATGTTTGAAAGCTGAAACCGCAATCCTCCCCCCAGTGTTGTTTTTGCCATCTTAGATTTAGTCTTAGTCTTAAGGACAAAAACTATTATTAGTCTTAGTCGCAATTTAGTCATTACGATATGTGATAGTTTTAGTCGTTTTTAGTCGGCTAAAAGTTAAAAAGTTTTTAGTCTAATTTTAGACGGTTCTATGTTGTAAAAAAAAGTCAACTTTTACAATGTCGAATAACAACCAGATTCTTTACCAGACTGACAGCTCTAGCCTAGTTACTACAATAGCTGGGTATAGAATGCTGCCGTGCAGTTCATCATTGGTATTTGGCAGAAATCTTTGATTTATAGAAATCAAATAACATTTTTTTATGAATTAATGCCATACTTTATTCAAAAGTGTCTCACTAAAGTTGTGAAAATAGCATATCTAGTTCCACAAATCATATTGGTTAATATAGCAGATAGACAAGCTAACACAATGTACAATAAAGGAATGATTTTAGATATACAAGGTTTCCATCCCAAATCAAATTCTTTCTGATCTACTATGAGTTATGCATTACACACAGATCAATTAAAGTTTGATTGCTCCAAAAAAAGCAACTAAAATGTTGAAAAACTAAAGGAAACAAGGAAAATGTTTTAATTACATTTCAAGGAAACATTTACATCATATTTTAATAGATATAAACAAGAATTATGAGAGGGAATGGATATTGGTTTGGATATAATTTAGGGATTCCTTTTGGTAGAATGTTTAGTATCACCTCATGTGAGCTGGAAAAAAAAAATCTTGATAGTTAGACAAAAGGATTTTTTTACGCTTGGCAGAGGATGGTTGGCCACATGTAGTTTATTTAAAGAGGTCATACAATGATTATATAGAGTATTCGGTGCTGGTCCTTCAGGTCTCTGAATAGGATGTGTAACATTGGTTGGGCTGAAAATAGCATATTTGCTGTTGTATGAGCCCTAATGCAAGCCTGGTTAAAAGCCCTAGAATGAAATGACAGGTTTTCTTCCTTTTATGGTATGATCATGAATATTTAGATGAGCTGTGCGTTGATTGGTTGGTTTACAACGAGCAAAGCTGCTGAGCAAAGACGCATCATAGCAACAAGCACTCACTCACTGAAACATCGTGATTGTTGATATAGTAGGGTGACCAGATGTCCTCCTTTTCTCGGACATGTTCTGCTTTTAATACCTAAAAAAATGTCCGGGGGCAATTCCTAAATCTTCCGGGATTTTGGTCAACTACAATGCATCAACCCTTTAAGTAGCGAGAGCAGGAAGAGCCATGCTGCTGAGAGCGAACCATCAGTGTGGAACGTAAAGCACAAACTATGAGCTAAGCGCACACAAAGATGCACACAAAGATGCACAAGCACAGCTGAAAGAACAAAGTTTGTCAGAGTTCAGCATGAAGTACTGGTTTTCTGTCAGCTGACACCTGGACCATTCTGTATTATTTTCATTGTGCTGCCATGATCCATCTGTGGGCATGCAGAATAAGCTCGGTTGCACAGCAGGTGGGTTGCGTGTTCAAACATGACGCAGCAGCACGGCTGATACTGCACAGCAGATCCCAGCACAATGATGCATTTTAAATGTCTGACCGACTACCAGCTAATCTTCATTTAGCCTTGTCTCATTGACTAAAACTCACATCCATAACTCAGAAGTTTTCGTCAACAAAGATCCATGTTTTGCCTGTAATTTTTTGTTATTCCATGAAAAAAAGGAGTGTTAAAGAAATAATTTCGTCATCCTCATCGCTGACTAAAATAAGACTGCATCCCCCTCTGTTCAGTGATAGTGAGATAGCTTCCTTGACGCCTCTTTCAAACCATCTATCCTCCCTTTCCAAAATTTGAGCACTTAGATCTTCAAAATGTGTCTTTTTATTTTGCGGTGCAATTGTACAGCTGAATCTTGCCCAGAGCTGCTAATTCCCCCATGCTGTGCCATGCGTTGATAAAGTTGTTGTTTTGTTTCTCCAACATAGAAGGCTGTGTAGTCCTCACTGCACTGGATTGCATACACAGTGCTGCTCAGCTTAGGTTGGGGTGTTCTGTCTTTAGGATAAACCAGTTTTTGTCTGAGTGTAAGCAAAAGTCTGGTTGCCTTCCAATTAAAGCCTGTTTGTGGCACCTATTGATTGCCTCATGCACACATTCTGCATGGACAGAAACTCGTACACAAGTAAAACACCATTGTACGCACCAGAAGAGATCCCGAGCATACGTGGGAGATTTTTCTTCCCCAGAAGCCACAGTTCCTTGTATAAGTGGGATATTTTCTGCATAATGGTTGATAAATTCATATAAAAAATTAGTTTAATATACGTGTGAGTATGTTTAATATGCTCTTGGAGATTTTGACATTAATATGACGCGATACATACCAGTTAACCCAAGCCAAGGAACAGAGCTGTCTTTATGTGACATTTTATACAGCTCACAGATTAATTGGTCAACATTAAAGCAAATTTGAGAGAAACCTTTTAACCAGTGTAATTGCAGCTATCAAACAGAAA